ACGAGGACTGAGGCCGCCGCCGCGGGGGGGCATGCGTAGCAGATGAGTCTGGCAGCGCCTGGCAGCCGAATTCGCTCGGGAAGGCATGCTACTTTTGGGGCGTACCCACATCGTTGGGGGATGCAAACAAACTGTGCAAGTCTTTATATGAGTGCTGCGCGCGTGGCAAGGATTGGCATCGCATGCGCGGGCACCCGCGCGCCCTTGCATCTGCGGCCCACCGTGCGCCAGCCATAGCCCAGCAAGCTCCTAGGCGGGGTTCAAGGGGATTGCATCCTTGCCGTGCTTATGACACCATCGCAACGGATTTCCATCGATTCCTGGCAGCCGAACGTCGTCGCCCGATCACTCGGTGGCGATCCCAGGGCATAATTCTCTCGGGGATACATGCTACTGTTGGGGGTATCCAGACCGTTTGGGGGAGACGCGTACATGTGTCAGAAGTATTCATGTATGATGCGCACGTTGCAAGGATGGGCATCGCGTGCGCGGGCACCCGTGCGTCCTTGCCTCTGCGGCCCACCGATAGCTAGCCATAACCCAGAAAGTTCCTATGCGGGGTTCAAGGGGATTGTATCATTGCCGCGCTATCGGCACCATCGCAGCGCATTCCGCTTCCTTTTTGTCGTTTAGACTTGAGGCTCAAACTCGTCGCGCGCACCTCGGTGGGAAGCCCAGTGCGAGCAATGCAGTGCGAGGTCTGCGACCGCGTCCCAGCGCTCGGCTCTGCAGGGCAAAGCAACGGGCCCCCATGGCCGTGCAGTTCAGTGGGTGGGGGTGTTGGGGCGGCATTGCAATTGGGTTTTCTTGACGGGGGCAGCGGCCCGTCTCCCCCCCGTGAATATGCTGAGATATTACGTGGCACGTTCCCCCCCCCCATCCCCCGCCCCCCGCCCCAGGCTTCCCGCTGCCTGCCGCCCGCGTGTGCCGCGGCTGCCTCATGCGCATGCTGGACACGGGGGACTTCTGGCCGCTGTCGGAGCAGTGCATCCTCGGCGCCATGCATCCCGACTTGGGAGCGCCGCCCGCCATCCACCTCGATTGGGACGAGGAGGGCGAGGACGACGAAAGCTTCCACGATGGCGACCAGAGCATCGACGAGGACACCGAAGCGGAATCCGACGGGACGGAACCCGATTTGGACAGCGACGAGGGCGGTGACGTCGATACCAGCGAGACGTCCTCCACGGCGTGCCCGTCGGACGACGACATGCTGGAGGGCGACGAGGAGACCGACGATGATGATGACCGCTACTTCGCCGATGTCGTGTGGGTCTCCGACGACGAAGCCGACGGCGTCGTGGCGATCGACTCGGACGAGGACTGAGGCCGCCGCCGCGGGGGCACATCGTTTGGGGAGGTAAACAACATGTGCAAGTCTTTATATGAATGCTGGACCTTGAGACGGACCTTGAGACGGAGGAAACACAAGTCAGTTTTGAACAGTGCAGCCCCGCCTTGTCACCCCTCGCTCATCGTTTCCGCGGCACCGCTTCGCTCCTCCTCCTCTTGTCCATCGCCGCCCTCCTCACATATCCCCTCCTGCGCTCGGCGAGGCCTGTCTGGCACGCGCGTTCGGCGAGATCGGTTTGGCCTAGGACTTGTTCCATTTTTATTGTTGCCGAAGACGTCCTGCGGGCGCGGGCGCCCCGCAGGACGTCAGGGTTGCCCAGGGGGTCCAATCTTTTTAGTCGTTTCGAATGACAGAGAAGCAAGTCTTGAATTGAGACACATTGAATCATTCTTTGCCGTAGCATTTGGCTTGAAGGGCAGGCCGCGGGCGCAGGGCCTCGGGGCGGCGCGGCCGCGCTCTGGGTCGCCGAGCTTCGGGGGCGACGGCGGGGGGGCAATGGGCAAGCGCTTGCCCATATGCCACTCTCCGCGCGCGCGCAAGCCTCTGCGCAGCTCAGCGGTGCTCAAGAGGCCCGCCGGCATCCCGCACACGCCGAAGGCCCAGATGAACCCAGTGATCAAGCGCAACCAGAAGCGCCGCGGCCACCGACATCAGGGGAAAAGCAAGGCCCACCCGAATAGCCTTGTGAACCTCCTGAGCATGGACGCGATCGAGTTGGCGAAGAAGCTCCAGAACCTGGGCTTCATGAAGAAGTGGGCGCAGTGCCCACAATGCGGCGCGCTTGGGCGACTTGAAGGAGCGCGACGGGAAGCTCAACTACAGGTGTCCCAAGTGCCGTGGAAGTTCTGGCGATGTATCAGCGTGGAAAAGGTTCCATGTGGGAATGTGGCTCTGGCATTTCGCTGCGACAGATCGTTGGGCTGATCGTGTGCTTCTCCGAAGGTATCGCGGCTACTCCAGCGTCGCAGCTGTGCGGAGTGGGCGAGAAGTGTGTCTTCCGCTGGTACGGCAAGTTCAGGGCCTGCATCGTCGCGAAGATGGAGAAACTCCAGAAGTCGTTCGGCAAGCAGGGCGGGAAGGGCATCGTCGTGGAGGTCGACGAAGCGTCCGTGGCGAGTGGCAGCGCAGGCCCGCTCCCCAAGAAAGGAGCGCCCGCGTTCTCGTACACGCGCATCATAGCTTTGCTGGTTCGCGGGTCCCGTAACATCGTGATCGAGCAGCTGCCCATCAGGAAGCAGAGGTACAGGATCAAGGGGTCGCAGAAGACGATGAGCGCGGGGACAATCAAGTTCGACGGCAAGAGGTTGGTGTCACCTGGCCCGCCAGCTCTGTCCATCCCAGAGGGGAAGAAGTTCTTGACTAAGCACTTCAAGTCTGGCATTCTTTCCAGCGACTCCGCTGCTACGTACGATTCCCTTGTCAATAAGAGGAAGATCTTCGGCAATCGAGCGAAGCAGATCGCCGTCGTTCATGGGAAGGAAGAGTGGACGAAGATGTTCAATATCGACGGGAAGAAGGTATGGGGAGGGACGCAATACATGGACGGCTTCTTCGGCAACTACAAGCAATGGGCGAAACCTCGACACGTTCGTCGATCTGATGTGATGCAGTACGCTCGTGAGTACCAGTACTGGTTCGTGACCAAGAAGGAGGACCGCCTGGTGGCGTTCGGGAAGGCTTGCAAGGATTACGCCTGAGTCTGAGGCGTTTGGGGGTAGCTTCCAGAGCAGCGTTGCAGTGACGCTCTGGGAGTAGTTCGCTAGAACCACTGCGTGCTTTCTGATTAGTCTGGGTAAAGAGCGATCGCCCGCTCACGGCGGGGGCAGAACATTAGCGAAACATTGAACCAAACAGGATGAGACTAACCAAATAAACAAACAAACAAATATATATATATATATACCGTTGAAAAGAAATGGGCGACACAATAAAGAAAACACACTTAACACGTGATGTAATGCAAAGATACGCGGCTGAATTAGAAAAGCCGTCGGGAACGTCCAGAAACCGAGACGGCCCGAAGGGGGGCCGAAGGGATGCCCAGGAGGCCCCACGGGAGGCCCCACAGGAGGCCCCAGGAGGGCCCCGGGAGGAATCAAGAAGACTCAAAGAGGGCGCCAGGACGCTCTAGGAGAAGGGATATGAGAAGGATCACAGAGGGGACGAAGAGGGGGACGATTATGGATGAGAGAGGAGTGGGAGAAAAAATGGAGGAGAGAGAACGAGGAGCGGTAGGAGGAGGAGGATGGGAGGAGACGGAGGGGAGGAAGAAGAGGAGGAATCAGATGGGGAACCGGAGGGAAACAAGGAGCAGGAGGATGAACAGTAGAACAAAGGAGGAGAAGAGCAAGCACAGAGGAGTGAGGGGGGGGGGCAGGAAAAGGGATGATGAAGAAAAGAGGAGGTGGGAGCAAGCATAATGATGATGGAGAAGGGATCGAGGAGCAGAAACAGGTAGGAAAGGAGTGAGGTGGGCAAGAGCATGAACAAATGGGAAGTGCACGCCAATAGACATTTTGTATAACACAAATCACGCTGGCCAGCGTGGACATTACACAGCCAACTATTAAACTGTAGATCTGCAAGTTGCGCGGTGCAACCATATGGTGCACGCTACGAAGTGCAAGCTATGTGGTGCAAACTACGTGGTGCAAGCTGCGTGGCACCAGCTATGCGGTGCAAGCAGTGTGGTGCAAGCTACGTGTCGCAAGCTATGTGGCGCAAGCTTCGCACCGCAAGCTATATGGCGCAAGCTATGTTATGCAACCTACGTGGTGCAATTTATTTATGTCACCTCGTGGGATGTCTACCCCGCTGCTCGCGCAATCGCTCCACCTCCCACCCGCAACTTGTTTGGCAAAACCATTCGGCCACGACTGCGCTTGCAGATTGGCACTTGCTAGCGAATCTCTGCGACCGCGCTGGCGCACGAACGCTGTTTCGCAGGGCGACCACCGTGGCTTGTCACAACCAGTGCGGCCGCGCTGGCGCCTACCGATGGGAACTTCCCAACGCGTCTCAGGGACCGTGCTGGCACGCGGGCAATTCCATGCGGGTCGGTGATTCGGGCGGCCGTTGTATCATGACGACGTCGGCAGCGCCGGCACCGGTGATGCTAGTGGCGATGGTGGCGGCGATAACGACGATCACGACGACAGGGCCAATGACGGCGCCGATGCTGGTGGCGGCAATGACGCTGATGATATGCATGTGCCGATGATGAAGGGTAATTGTGCGCATGATTGCGGCGAAGGCGGCGGTTGACGCTGACGATGACGGCAGTGATGCGATGGCGCTGATGCGGGTGGGTGTCAAGAAGTGTAGCAGTTCCAAAATTCAGCGAAATTTGGGACATTTCTTTTTTGGGGGGGATAACGGGGATAACGCATGTTACGCGAGGGGGGGGTACAGTAACTGGGGCCGCGGCGCGCACCCCCTGAGGCACGCCGCCTACGTCGTCGTCGTCGTCGTCGTCGTCGTCGTCGTCGTCGTCGTCGTCGTCGTCGTCGTCATCGTCGCCGCCCAAGCCCACAGCGCCTGTGTACACAACACGGGCTCTGCACAATGCCTCCTCCTCCTCCTCCTCCTCCTCCTCCTCCGCCTCCGCCTCCTCCTCCTCCTCCTCCTCCGTCCTGGCCGCCCGGACGCTCCTGCACCGCCATGGGGTCCGCCAGTTCGACGTGGTCGCGCGCCAGCTGCCTGCAGCAGCGTAGGGCGCAGGTCGCCCGCCGTGCCTTGGGCGCGGGCGATTCGTGCGGTCGGTCGGCCGCCATCGCGCAGTCCAGTTGCACATCTGTCGGCGCCCACTAGCGGCCCCATTTGAGTCAATTCCCAACTCCCTCGTCGTCCTCCTGCTCCTCCTCCTCCTCCTCCTCCTCCTCCTCCTCCTCCCCCTCCCCCTCCCCCATCCCCTCCCCGTCCCCCCCCCCTCCCCCCCCTCCTCCTCCTCTTTCTCCTCCTCCTCCTCCTCCTCCTCTTCTTCTTATTGGTATTATTATTACTATTATTATTATTAGTATTATTATTTGTATTATTATTATTATTATTACTATTATTATTATTAATAGTAGTAGTATTATTATTACTATTATTATTAGTATTATTATTATTAGTGGTATTATGTGTATTATTATTATCATTAGTATTATTAATATTAGTAGTATTACGCTTATTATTATTATTCGTATTATTCTTCTTAGTATTAATATTATTATTATTCCTCCTCCTCCTCCTTCTTCTTCTTCTTCGTCCTCCTCCTCCTCCTCCTCCGCCTCCTCCTCCTCCTCCTCACCCTCCTCCTCCTCCTCCTCTTCCTCCTCGTCCTCGTCCTCCTCCTCCTCCTCCTCTTCCTCCTCCTCCTCCTTCCTCCTCCTCCTCCTTCCTCCTTCCTCCTTCCTCCTCCTCTCCTCCTCCTCCTCCTCCTCCTCCGCCTCCTCCGCCTCCTCCTCCCTCCTCCTGCTTCGCCTCCTCCTCCTCCTCCTCCGCCTCCTCCTCCTCCTCTTCTTCCAACTCCTCCTCCTCCTCCTCCTCTTCTTCCAACTCCTCCTCCTCCTCCTCCGCCTCCTCCGCCGCCTCTTCCTCCTGCCCCTCTTGCTCCTCCTCCCCCTCTTCCTCCTCCTCTTCCTCCTCTTCCTCCTCCTCCTCCCATATAGTAGTGCGTGTATCAGTCCTAGTATTGGTGGTATTTGTATTACTGTGTGTCGTCGTAGTATTCGTGTTAATCGTCGTACGCGTCTGATTCGTATTCTCCTTCTTTCTACGATTAGTAGTCATAACTCTATCCGTAGCATTCGTCTGATTAGAATTATCATTGTTATTATTAGTAATAATATTATTGGTACTATTACTATGATATTTTTAGCATTATTCATATCACTCGTCCTCCTCCTCCTCCTCCTCCCCCTCCTCCTCCTCCTCCTCCTCCTCCTCCTCCTCCTCTTCCTCCTCTTAGTATTCCTCTTCTTCCTCCTCCTATTCATCCTCCTCCTCCTCCTCTGCCTCCTCCTCCTCCTCCTCCTCATCCTCCGCCTCCGCCTCCTCCTCCTCCTCCTCCGCCTCCGCCTCCGCTCTCCGCCTCCGCCTCCGCCTCCGCCTCTGCCTCCGCCTCCGCCTCCGCATCCGCCTCCGCCTCCTCCTCCTCCCCCTTCCTCCTCCTCCTCCTCCTCCTCCTCCTCCTCCTCCTCCTCCTCATCCTCCTCCTCCTCCTCCTCCTCCTCCTCCTCCTCCGCCTCCGCCTCCGCCTCCTCCTCCTCCTCTGCCTCCTCCTCCTTCTCCTCCTCCTTCTCCCCCCCTCCTCCTCCAACTCCTCCTCCCTCCCTCCTCCTCCTCCTCCTCCTCATCCTCCTCCAACTCCTCCTCCTCCTCTTCCTCCTCCTCCCCCTCTTGCGCATCCCCCTCCTCCTCCTCCTCCTCCTCCTCCTCCTCCTCCTCCTCCTCCTCCTCCTCCTCCTCCTCCTCCTCCTCCTCCTCCTCCTCCTCCTCCTCCTCCTCCTCCTCCTCCTCCTCCTCCTACTCGTAGGATTAGTAGTATTAGTAGTAGCATGCTTATTACATGTCTTACCAGTATTATTAGTATGTGTAGTATGAGGGTTTCTCATGTTTCGTCTTATTATTCGTAGTATTCGTCGCATGAGTCTGATTCGGATTCTTCTTCGTATTACTATGATTATTATTATTAATATTAATATGTTCAGTCAAATGCTCGTGACTATTATTACTAGTATTCGCCGTCGTCTTCATATCATTTGTCCTCCTCCTTCTCCTCCTCCTCCTCTCCCTCCTCCTCCTCCTCCTCCTCCTCCTCCTCCTCGTGCTCCATCTCCTCCTCGGACTCGTTCACTTCATCCTCCTCCTCCTCCTCTTCCGCCTTCGTCCTGCTCCTCTTTCAGATGTTGATGCTGCCCATCCATTCCCACTGCTACTGCTCATCCTGTTGGCATTCCTCTATGACCTCCTGGTCCCCCCACTCATTCATCCTAATCGCCATGCTCCGCCATATTTGGCGGGCCTTCAAGACCTAAGGGAGAAAGAGGAGCAGCAGCAGCGGCAGGATGCGTTCTCAGCAGCAGCGGCAGGATGCGTTCTCAGCACCTTACTTTCTACTGTTCTGCAGCGCCATCGGTGCTGGAGCTGGTTCAGCAACCGATCACACACTGAGAAAATGGGGTCGGCTGGGGTCGGTGCAAGGGCACATTGTCGGCACTGTCGACAGATGCCTTGCAACATGTTGCCACTCTTCTGTTCGAGCTCGCCTCTGTGCACTATCCATGGCAAATGATCGAAAGGGCGGTCACCCACATCAGGAAGACTTATCCGTACCTCCCGTGTCTCGATGATGCCGTGCACACTATGACACACGAATTGGCTGTGCTAAAATGCAACTAAGGTCAGCGTGTGTGTCCAAATTCGTTTGTCCTCGTGCTGTGCCCTCCTCGTCCTCCTCCATCTTGTCCCTCATTTGTCTCACCTTTGTCGTTGTCTTCCTTGCTTCCCTGATGCTCATCCATCCCAGCCGTCAGCGTGAGGGCCTGGGTGTGTGTGCACACGAATGAGGTCTCTTCTAGCACCATCATGCGTGCTGCCGAGATTGATGGTGGCTGCTCGCTCATAGGTTTGCTCGCCCTTGTGCTTGCACTGTACAGATTGACCGGATGCAAACTGAGCGCAATTCATTATGTTCCCGTCTGCATTGCGCCTGGTGGTCATTGCGGCTCAGTCAACAGCTCAGGGGAGTTACCAAAGCAAACAACATCGAGCCGAAGCGCGCCGAGCATCGGCGCCAGAAGAAGCGACCCCATCTTCATCTGCGCAAAAAAGTGGCTCCGCCAGAGGCCTCTCCAAGGGGAAACGGGGGCGGCTCGGAGCAGGGCGAATCCAGACAACGGCATGGCAAAATCGAACCCACGACCCCAACCGGGGGCCAAACGCACCAGTCTACGGAGCTGCGTCCAGCCGTGGCGACGAGGGCTCCCTCGATGGCCAACTGACGGTGTCTCGACTGGCCCTCCGCGGTGGGGGGCAGCTGCACGCTCGACGGCGCCCCAGGAGGGGCGGGGTGTGCGAGGCGCGGCGCCAGCGGACGCCCTGGGAGGGACGGGGAAACGGTGGTCGGCCTACTCCTCACCACTGCCACCACCACTGTAGATCACGGCCAGCCGACGTGTGGTAGTGCGATGCTGCGTGGAGGCGCCGTCCGCGCCCCGCAGAGCACCCACCATCGGTCCGCCGCCCTCGGTCCAACTGTCAAGGTGGTGGTGGTGGTGAACAATGCGTTCCGGACGATCCGGAATTGTTCTTTACAATGTGCGGCGGCGGCGGCGGCCCCGGCGACACGCGATGCCATGCAAGCCGACAGCGTGCCGCTCCGCTCCGCCGGGTGCCCGGCTGGGAACCGGGTGCCCCTCCCGCTCCCGCGCTCCGCTCGCCGCGCGCGTCGCTCCGCTCCGCCGCTCCGAGCCTGTCGCTCCGCGCCGCCGAGTGCCTCGGGTGGACGCTCGGGGACGGGGGCGTGGACAGCGCGGTGGGCAAACACTGGCGGCGCGACAGCGAGGGCGCGGCTGGCACGGCCACCACGACGACGGCCACGACCGTGGGGACGACCATGACGACCTCCACGACGGCGGCCGCGACCTCGACGACGCCGGCGACCTCCACGACAACGACGAAAACGACGGCGCCGACACCCACGACCACCACCACCACCATGACCGCCACCACCACGACGACGACGACGACGACGACGACGATGGCGACGATGGCGACGACGGCGACGGCGACGACGACGGCGACGCCGAGCACCAAAACGACGTCCGCGACGACGACGACGACGACGCTCACGACGACGGCGGCGACGACCACAACGACTACGACCACCACCACCACCACCACCACCACGACCACCACAACCGAAACAACGACGGAGACGGCGACGGCGACGGTCGACGGCGACCCGCGGCGTTGAAAGTCTTACCTCTGCGACCATCATTCGGGTGATACGGAGGCTCGGGGGGAGGAACCAACGTCTCACTCAGTCGATCTCACGATCGATCTCAGTATCGAGGTCATTATCGGTCTTACTATCGACGCAACTACCGATCGCACTATCGATCGCACTAACGATCGCACTATCGATCTCATTATCGATCTGACTATCGGTCTGACTATCGATCCCACAATCGATCTCACTATCGATCCCACTACGGGACACCGAAGGGACACCGACGGAACATCACAATCGATCTCACGATCGATCTCACTCAACCGATCTCACTCGATCGATCTCACTATCGATCGCACTGTCCCTCTCATGATCGACCTCACTACTAATCCACGATCGATCTCACTATCGATCTTACTATAGATCTCACAATCGACAACACTATCGATATCGCTATCAATCTCACTGCGGGGCACCGACAGGACATCGAAGGGACATCACTATCGATCTCACTATCGATCTCACTCGATCGATCTCACTGGATCGATCTCACAATCGATCTCACTATCGATCTCACTATCCCTCTCACGACCGATAACACCCCTGATCCCACGACCGATCTCACCATCGATCTCACTATTGATCTGACTATCGACCCCATATTCGACAACAATATCGATGTCACTACCGATCCAACTATCGATCGCACTAACGATCGCACTATCGATCTTACGATCGATCTCACTATCGGTCTCACCATCGATCTCACCATTGATCTCACTATCGATCTCACTATCG